GGCAGGGAAGTTGGCATGAGTCCTCTAGGCTGTACCCATCTCTTTACTTAGGTCTGCACCCTTTCCCTGATTCATTCCCTTGGTTTTTAATCGGGTGGCATAAATTTTAGAGGTTCCAATTTAGTTTGGCTTGTTTTAGTTGCTTGGAGGCCTTGTGTCCTGCAAAAGTGGGAACAGTAATGTCACAAATTCAACTGTACAGGGCAAAGGGAGGTGCACTTAGATCCAATGGATCCTGTTGTGTGAGGAGAATGGGAGGCCCCAGGCTGCCTCTGAGGAGGATGTGTGTGTGGTAACCTGTCTGCAGGGTTAGCCTGGGTCCATGTGCTATGGAAATGGTCCCAGGATCACAGGAATCCTTCTGCCTGTTGTGTCTTAGGCACAGCAGTGAAATGACTCGAGCAAGGTTGAGAAAAGCTGCATCCAACTGCATTCTTGAAAAAGAAGCCGATCAGTTTACTGTGTTCCTGGCTGGTGTGTTGTCAGCTCCAAATGTCATGTTCTGTCCAAATATAACAGTTGAAAATCAAAAATATCCTGACAATTTTAAGCTAGCTGTAACTTTAAAATTAGGAGCTTGTTGCTTACTTCTGAGTGCTAGAAAAGAGCTGAAACTTTATCTAAATAGGAAATTTACTTGAATTATGAAGTAGTGTCTTTGTCTTGTGGGTATAAAAATATAACGGAACATGTATGCAAGGAGGTCAATTCAATTTAGCTGTTTTCTGCTGAAAATAAACCCATGAGGAGGAGGTGGTTGGTCTCAAACCCTACACACACATGGCCTCTGGGGCTATTAGTTATCGCAGCGGTGCAGAAGGATATTCAAAAACTGCGTAACAGGGCAATATGTGAAGTGGCCTTTGCTTCAGGTCTTGTGCCTCTGTTTGATGGGGACTGGCCAAAGCTTTGAAGTACCATCTGCTAATACCAATTTGAGCCCCTTGTTAGTGCCTGTGGCAATCCCAGGTATTGCTGATGTGTCCGTGCATATAGTTCCTTTTAATGCTGTTTTTCAGTGACTAAGAGACTCTACAAGGTGACATTTCGTCTGAAGCTTCTGCATACGTAGCCTTTGGACTAAATCAAAATTGCCGGCGCTCTTTGCGTGACAAAAGAGTGCGGCGTCCAAGATAAACCAAGGAGAGATGTGGGTATGCAAGCCTTCATTTAAAAAAGGCATCTTTCATCTCGCTGACAGCGAGGTTCCTGCAGCGCTTTGATTGCCCTTTAATTATGTCTGTTTTTCCTGGTTTGTTTGAAAGGCAGATCTTGTTAGAAAAAGGTGCTGTGTGGAAAGAACTTGGCTGTCTCTGCTGCCCTTCCTTGAGGGCGCAGAGCAGAGCTGCTGGGTTTTTCTGCATTATTAAAATTGAAGGTTGTTTCTTGTAGATGTGGATGCAGGCGCTGTGCGTGTCTCCAGTGGAGTGGTCGGGTAGTTAAAATGCAGAGCAGGAAGTTGTGAGCCCTGAGTTCCTCCCACAGCAACTTGCACGATGATCTCGGCGGAGCTGGGACAGCCTGTCGGCTGCTTCCTTTTGTGAGCAGTTGAGGTGCTGCTCATCTATCCGAAAGGCCCCAAGAAACTGCAGTGTTGGGGATTATTAGGCACAGGAAGGTCCCTAGTGTGCTGGGGTGAACACTGCAGTTGAATGCATGGGATTTTAGCAGGGCGCTTGAGCGCCCTGGCCAGCTCCGATTTTATGCTGGTTGGTGTTTTAACTTGAATCCTGCTGCTGTGGAGCCATTTGTCTGAATGAGAATCTCAGTTTTCTTAAAGGTGGGGGGGAAGTGTTAAAGTCTGGTTTTGTTGATCAGAGAGAAAAGCCTGGTAATAGGATTCAAATAGACTAAAAGTTTAACTGCCAAGCAAGCAAAATAACGCAAGAATAGGTTTCTAATCCTTTTAGAAATCTGTATTTTAAAGAAAATCTCCCTAACTTTTCAGGTTTTGACTCACGTTTGGGTGTTTGCCTTGCTCAAACTCTAAGTGCTGTCTTTATGTTGAATCTTGGGAGATTAGTTTTTTTATTATTTTTATTTTATTTTTTTTAAGTAACAACAGATCTTAATATAGCTGAGAATGCGGAACTGCCCTTAGAAAAATAGGTTGGACACATGAAAAGGAATCTTGCTCAGCAGGCTGAAGACGTAGAGCAACTTCTGCGGTTACGTTTCTCTTTCTTCTGGCAATTTTGGGGTGGGGATGTAGCTGGCTCAGTAGCTTGGGCTTACGTTTCTTTAAGAACGCAAATCAAACCTTCCTGAAGCTGCTTTAGCCCAAACGGGACAAGCTGTTTTGTAAAACTTTGCTTCTGTGGAATCTGAGGCAACTTCACTCTCAAGAAAAGGAAAGGATGGATGGGAAGTAGATGATCTTGTCACACTGCCTTTGCGTGGAGGAGTGAGGATGGGCTGGGTGTCTTGCTTTGGAGGGGTGCACAAATGATCAGGTCCTAGTTGTCATCTCCTGCCTGGAGTCCACAAGACCTAAGGGTAAAAACAAAATGCAGCCAGCTGTTTAAAGCCAGAACTAATCAAATATGGAGAACTTCAAGTAGGAGGATAATCTTTGTCATCTGACAGACTATCCCAAATTCCCATGGGATGCAGCTCTGCTGTAATAACATGCATCTCATGGCAAGACCAAAGCGCCTACCTCTAGCCTCAAGCGCTCTGCATGCTTTGCATGGCTGGCAGGCCACGCAGCGGAGGCTGCGAGCTTGGAGCTCGTGTCTCCCAAAGAGGAGTGACACCGAGACCTAGGGACCTGATAACTGGCTTTGTGTGCAGTGCTGGAAACTCCAGGGAAAAGGTTTTTTCACAAATTTTGAGGCTCTGTTAAATCTTTTGGAATGGCTGCTCACACTCCATTTAAAGAACGGAGGGTGTTTTTTCATACAGATATAAGGGCTGTGTGTGAATATTCATTATGGGCAAATACATTTAAAATTAAAATATAAAAATATGCAAACACCAGTGTTGAGGCTTTCTTAAAAAAACAAAACCCCTACTCAAGAAACACTATTATTCTGGCTGCACATATATCTGATTACATAGTTCTGAAAGGGGTGAAAGCAACTGCACAGGCTCCTCGAAGCTTTCCCTTGGGGTGTGCCAATGCTGAAGGCAAAATAAATGCCCTTTTAAAATTGAAAGCAATCAAAGGGGAGGGGGCGGATAGAAGCTGGCAGAGCGCTCATCTGGGTTAGCCTGTTGCAGATGGAGTTTGTTTTAAAATAATTCTCTTGGCTGCGGCTGTGATTATTTACTTTTTTCAAAAAGAGATGAGGTGTTGCCTTAAAACAAGGAGGTTTTTAGGATGCTGACATGCAAGCAGGAAGGCGAGTGGGCAGAACCACTGTGGAACAGTTGCTCACCTTAAGGTTCTGCTCTTTGTGCGGCCTCATCTTGGGCTGCAGAACTTGAAATACAGATAACTGTGGTTAGTGGAGATGAGAGGAGGCTGCTGCCAGTGTGACCTGCTGACACTTATTTGATATTTTTTCACACGTTTCAATTGATATACGTTCAGCTGATCCTCAGATGGGACAGTGGGGTGGTTTTCAGGTCTCCCGGATTGTGGTTCTCACGGAGTTGCTAGTTGCATGTGAATCTGGAACATTCAGGCTAAGGGAACGTTTTGTAGAGATAGGCACTTTTTAAAATAGTACTGTACAGAAAGAAAGAAAAGAAAAGCTTATATAGCCAACCTGATAAAGGATATTAAAATTCCATTTTCACAATTTTGTTAAAACATGTAAAGGACATTGCAGAACCTCTGCGAGGAAGCCTGTGATAAGCATGTGGCAAAACCACTAATCAAAGTGAAACCTGTGCGTGTTTCGGAATCCTCTCTGAGACTTTGTAATGCTAGAAGGCTTCCAGAAGGTGGCACTGATTTACTGCAGTGATTGTCAAACTGATCCCTAATGCACAATAAGTGATGGGACAGTATTCCTGCAAAATCTCTGGGCAGATACTTGGGGCTCCCAAGTGCTTGTTCTTTGAGGCATGAGTTTCCAGCCTCCGCTCTTGAGATGTGGAGGGAAAGAACCACTGTGGGTCTTGGGATGAACTTAGCTCATAGATTCCTGGTAATTAATTGTTGCAGCTTCTTCTGAGACACTGCTGTAATGTGCATTGTGTCTGGAGAAAGCTTGGCACAAAGCAAGAGCGTGTTCAGGACACAAAGTACTCTGGCCTAGCTGTTCATATCCACATCAGAAAATTTCTTCCCTCTTAAGTAGTACAAAACCTGTTCTCTGGGTTTTTAGGCAATTATGAAAATAAAATTGTACATGCTGAAAATACCTCTTAATTATTTTTTCCCATAATTCAGTGTTTTATTAGAATAATGAAAATATTACAATCTCCCTTTTGTTCTGAACATCAACAGGATATTGTAGGCCTTGCTAGGGAATATTCCAGTTGCTATTCATGTCCTTAACTGTAAAGTCAGGAGCTCTTCCACTGAAATAATAGACTTGTTCCTGTCTTTTAAGTCTGTACTTGTCTAATATATAATAATTGTTGAAACTAGTCATTTGGTCTTTTAAAAGTAATATTAAACTCAAGATGCACTCGCAGAACTAACTTTGTTTTCTCTGTCCAAATTAACATAAATTGTTCTAAATGTTGTGTTCATAGCAAGATGGTAAAACACTGGCTAATAAAGAGTGGGTGATAGAAGGATTTCTGTTGCTAAATGTTTCATCATGGCAAATGAGACCTCTTGGGCAAAGTTATCTAGGAAAGATGCTAGAGGTCTTCATGAAGTGACTATTTACATTCACTCTCATAAAGTGTTTCTTTCTCCCTACAGTGACTGGTTTGAATAAAGACCTAAGTTGTAATACTGTTCTTTTTTTGTGAATTTTATCTGATAGCTTGGGAGGTCCCACCAGCATTTAGATCTCAGCGCCCAGTAGTCTGTTGCCCAGTGATCCTCCAAGCATTTGTGTGTCTCTGCTGACAGGTACCTGTTTCCTCTTCTGCAGGTCTTCATTTCTGTGAACTGCCTCAGCACAGATTTTTCCTCTCAGAAGGGAGTGAAAGGCCTGCCCCTGAATCTTCAGATCGACACCTACAGCTACAATAACAGGAGTAACAAACCTGTCCACAGAGCCTACTGCCAAATTAAAGTCTTCTGCGACAAGGTACAGTTGGGGTCAGTCTGCAGGGATACTTTGGGGAAGGCTGTTCTCCCATTTAATGGACTTTTTCCCCTTTTTTATTCTACCACTTTTTCATTGAAAACTCCTGTATGTTCAGCCTTTGCAAGGGAAAAAAAATTCAACCCTGTATGTTTGGCTCAGGATTGTTAGGATGATTTTGGATAAATTTGCTGCTCTCAAAATGTTGGAGCACTGAGAAACGTTCCTGAGCATTATTAGCACTGATTTTGGAGAAAGTCAGTGAAGCAAGACCCTGAATCTTGGTACTGCAAACACTAGAAGGCTCTACAGAGTTAGTCTTCTATAGGAGGATAAATCAGTGCAATTGATTTCAATAAATGGAGACTTTCATTTTTGCCCAAGCGCTGCATTGTGTGGGACTCCTTCCAGATTTGTTTCCTACAGTGTTCATCTAAAAAAAAAAAAAGGCTTTGCACAAGCAGGCATGTGGCACTATTTTCGTTGTGCTCTGGTGAGACACAGAAGTATGAGAGCCCCTGTAGGCTGGGTGAGTGCTGTAACCACATTGCTCTCCACTGTTCAACACCCAGACAAACCCTTCCCAGAGTTAGCAATTACCTGAGGCTGTGAGTAGGTGATAGCAGTAGTTGTAGAAGCCTAACCAGGTTTGCAAAGAAATTACTCTTTTTGTTTTCAGTCTTTCTAACATGTTCCCATCTGAACAGGCTTTTGAAGGACCTAAGCAATGTTGCTATTTCCAGAACAATCAAGACCTTTCTAGGTTGGGATGACCATTGCTCCTGACTTCCTCAGTCCCCTTTTTGATCTCCTGGAACCACATGGGCTTTCTGTTTTGCTGGCATCATATTTGATTAGGGGCTTCTCGGTCTCTTCATCAAATTCTGCCTTCGCTAGTAAGGACTCTTCACAAGTGAGACCTTTAATAATCCTCTGTGCAGCTACAGCTCTCAGCCAGACTTACTACCTTCCCTCCGCTTCCTCTGCCAGCTTTTCCCTGGTCGCCTACTGTCAGTCTTGCCTTATTGTCATCCCCAGGACGCTGCTGCAAAGGTCAGTCTTCCAAAGCCATTGCTCTGCCTGCCCTCATTTATATCCGCAAAGGGAGCCCTCTCCAATCTGCCTCTGCTCTAGCATCCCATTGACTCATCCTGCCAAATTTTATTGCCCATCTTTATTTTTAAAGAGGTCTGTTTGCTTTCCCTCGTGACTGGGAGAAGCTGCCTGTAGTCCCCACCAGAAGGCTGCTTGGTCATCTTCTTTCCCATGTCTTCAGAGAAGTTTCCTGTCATGATAACTCTCCAGTAAATTCTTGGTGGAGTTTGAGTGCCCTTCTGCAGAATTGCTGCCCTTTCTTTGTTGCTCTTCTGTCATAGTCTCCCCTTCATCTTGTATGTAAATAGACCCAAGTCTAAAGACGTGCTAGTCTTTCAGTTGTGTGGCTTTTGATTTTTTTTTTCCCTTTTTTTATAATACAGAGAGGCTCACAAGGCTTGTAGGTCTCTTGCCTCTCCACATAACCCTCTTAAAAGAAGCCTGAATATGAGATTGTGTTGTCTAAAGCTCTTTGGTTATCTTGGAGTCTTGCATATGGTATCAAACTCTGTTCTTTAGAACACTAGCGAGTGTAGACCTGCTTTGGAGAGGGGAATACATAACTCATAAGTTATCTAGTCAATTATTGGCAGTACTAGAATTAACTGACATGCTTGTGCCCCTTCTGATAAGGCAAGTTGGTTAATAAAAAGGCAGGCATGTTGTCAGTACACCGTTTATTTAAAGCCATTTGAGCCTTACACCATAAATTTCAACAAACCCAGTGGAAAAAATGTCGCAGGATCTTTCATTTTCGATTTGGATTTTTACTTCTTTTTCCCTACTTTATTTCTCGGAGTACTTTGCGGATTTGACCTAAATTGGAGAGGGAGGGCAAGGAAAGATGACTTTTGTGTTTTTAATTTCCCTATTGTGCATGTCGTGAGCATGTGCTCAATGTGAGGCTGCTGCCTGACCATTCTGGGCCATTGTTTTTATAGAAATGGTGTGGAGGTTTGGCCTGGACTGGACATGGGGGCCAGGGACAGAGACTGACAAGCTCAGGGCCATTTGTCACCACGTTGGATCAAGCTCTTCTTGCAAACGCCCTGGGCCCGGTCTGGCACTGGGGGCAAACACAGGGCTCCAGTGAGCAGCCCTGTGTTCCTGCAGCTGCTGCCCCACAAACCCTGATCGTGCCTTTCCTCTCTGGGCCTGTGCAAGAGCATTAGTATCTCAGAAACAGCAGACACTTTCCAGCAACATTTTCCCGCTTTGGATCTGAAGCGATGAGTCATCTTGTCTTAGATGTTCATAGGACCATCGTTACTGTAGCACCGCATGTATTATAGTCCTTAATGTCTCTGGCCTCATATTGCCACTGCTGCTTATAGCTGTTTTATTAACAGGGAGCAGAAATAAATATATATTTTGAAAAAAAAAAAAGGGGGGGGGGGGCACAAAATGCTTGTGCTATGGCCACCTCATTCCAGCAGCTCTGTTTCCATTAAGGCTGGGTCAGCATTGAATACTTGAACTGCCTTTGAGACTGGACACTGCAAATGGTCCTCTACAGGTTATATTCTTACGCACAAATCACTAAATATCTAATGGGAGGTGAGGCGTGTGGGTTAAGTTGGGGAAGGGAAGCTGCTTCTGCTCTCTCCTGCTTGTGGGATGCTGTGTACTGCGCTGCCCTAGTAGGACAAGGGGAGAGAATAAGGAAATCCCTCTGTCCTGCTTTCCCCGGCCCAGTAAATGGAGTTGCTAGGAGTTGCTAAAGCCTCTGTAAGGAGCAGCTTCTTCAGTAGCAGTTGCTTTTTCAGCACCTCCTTCTGCCAGCGCTGAGGCAGCCCTGATGCTGCGGGTCACGAGCTCAGGCTGCCTCCAAGAGCCTCCTGCTCTAATTAGGCTGTTTGGGGTCCCTGACACCTTCATGTCTTCCAGCCCCTTTGCCCTAGTTTCCATGTATGGGGGATACTAGGAGCGCAAGTTGCTCGCGATGACACTTCCCCCTGGCCGCTCTGCAGTGTATGGATGCCGAGCACAGCACTGTTCCTACAGCCATACATGTGCAGCTGAACGATGCATGCCTGCCATACAGTGCACGTACAGCAAGGCTCTCCTAGGCACTGTCTAATGAAGCTGGGAACCTTGGCTCTGACTGTGCCTTTTGGCTGCTGTGACTGTTTTGCTCCCTCTCTGCACATCCTTGCTGTTCTCCGAGCCAGGTTTCCTGGGGCAGGGAGGCTGGACTGTGCTCTCCAGGCTGCAGCTTCCCTCCTGCAGCCCAGGAATTTAGGGAGCGTCATCTGTGGCCTTCAATGTACTGACAAGAAATGTGATATCTTGCATTTTGGGCTGCAGGCCTCCCTGCATGTGGTGACGTTGGGAGAACTTTCTTAGCCTATTTTTTTCTGTAATTTTGAATTGTCTGATCGTGGCTCTGTCGGTGACAAGCTGGGCTCTGCTGACTGTGCTAGATGTTCTTCCTTAGGCCCTTGTGGTCTGAAATAAGTTGACTTTAAACAGACTTTGACTGTTTGGCATGGGAGGATCAAGGAGGTTTTTCTGAAATGCATGGAGTTTTGTATATTCTCTGCAACCAACATGGTGGTGCTCTGTATTGTGATGTTTGAATAGCAGAATTTTTTTCATTCCCTGTGAAAGAAAGCATAGGTGTCAGAAAGGTCAGGTTTAGCTGCTGCTTCTGCTATTAGGCTGGGATGTTGCAACCTTTATAGTGGAGGAGGTTGCAGGTCCCTCTGATGGAGTCTGGGTGAGGCATCTTCACTAGACAGAGAGCCTGTATCAACTTCAAATCTTCACCTTGGGATTGTTGAGCTTTAGGGGCCAAACCAAGTCATAAGCTGTGTATGTGCTGGTAACTTCTACTAAAACTCTGTGTATCCCTGACAGGCTGGGGGAAGGTGATATGCATCAAACATTGAGGCTAATTCACCTCTTTTTTTTTTTTTTTCTCTAGTGCTGATATCCCCTCTGCTACATAGCAAATGGTAGCGTCCTGTTGTCCATAGCATATTAATTTACTGTGAGGTAGATCCTTGTTACTCTTTTCAACACCCTGTACGTTAGGCAGTGTTTCCCACCCTCTTGCCACGTGTTTTTTACCATCTCGTCAGCCATGGCTAATCTGTCCTTCCTCCAACATTGCACAAGGGTGTAGGTGTGTTCCTGACAGCTTTGCAGGGGTGGGAGGAAGAAAATGCTGGCTTCCTGTAATTCCTCTGGGACCAAGGAACTGTCACCCTGCTTACAGAGAGATAGCTCGTGTGCTCCACTTTGGGCCATGACCTGGTGGTTACACATGAATTGAGCATTAGGGATGTTAGGGATCCCTAATATTAATAATTAGGGATATTGGGAATCTACTATGAGCTTATCACCTCATGCAGCTGGCAGTGTGATGCACAGTTGTACAGGAGGCCTGTGCAGAACTGGAGGAACCGATGTGATTCCAGCATATAGAATTGCCTTCCATTGCCCCAGACACAAGATATCCTTCCCCCTTTCCCTCCACCATAGCTACCAGCCTGTACCTTGCAGAAAATGTTCCCCTGTCCATCGCTGGTTGATTTGGAGGGTTGGGAGCTGTGTAGAACCCCATTCGGTTTTCATGGATTCCACAGTAGCCTGGCATTGATAAAAGCAGAAAAAGTGGTACTTGCTTTAGGCTGCTGGATGTCTGCAGCTCTGGGCCTGCAAAGGCCAGTAGAGCTGCTGCTGGCTCCCACAGCAACATGTGGGTATCTTTCAGCCTTATGAGGAGAGGTGGCCCACGTGTGGCTTGATTTTTAGCCACGAGGTTTAATGATTGCTTAGCAAACTTTCTAATTAGGGAGGACTTGCAGGTTTTATTGTTTTAAACACTTCAAATATATTTTTATCCCACATATAGACAATTGTTTGAAGTTGTAGGTATCTTTTGCTTTCATATCCCTGCTTGGTTTGAAAGAAAAGCAGTGGTTGCATCTTGAATAGCTGCTGGATCATCTTACATGGCAAGACTTCAAAAAAGCCCATGCAGATCTCACCCATGGCTTTTCTGGATAATGCAAAGCCCTGGTGCTTTGGAGCTGACTTCCATCAGCATGGCTTTGGAAGGATCACTGCTCCTGTCTGTACAGCAAAAAAGCAAACTGAAAAGACCTCCTCTTTTCTCTCCCTGTCCCTTAATCTCATCTGACAGGGAGCAGAGAGGAAGATCAGGGATGAGGAGCGAAAACAAAGCAAAAGAAAAGGCAAGTGCAGTGACCCCAGCTCTCAACTGAATGCCTGTAAGTAGAAATTATTCTATAAGTATTTTTAATAAAATTATCTCATTTTAGTTGCAAATAGTCTGTGCAAAAGTGCTGTCATATAAATAAGTCAATTCTTATCTCCTATGGAATAGTTCTTGTTTTAAGATATTGTTTACAGAGCATAAATTGTGTTTTGCCTCATACTGGGTCGTTTAGAACTTCACTTTTCCATAGTTCTCCCTGTCCAAAGCAGAATCCTGCTGCCTATTTAGTTAGGATATATATTATTAGAGCTACAGCGACATGAGGAGGGGGAGATTTTTGGAAAATGCTGCAGGTGGCAGCAAGATCAAGAACTGTTCAAAATGTTTCCAGATTGCTCCTAAACTTTAGTTTTAACTTCTATTAAAAATGTGCTTACAGCTGTATGGCAAGGTTGCAGCAGCCTTGGGAGTGAATCTGAGCCTTATGCTCAATCTTCTAGACAAATAATCCTTTCTAGATAACTTCAATAGAAAGAGTTTCTAGGTACATCAAGGTAACGGGGAGGCTGCAGAACTCTTAGATAGTGAAGGCTGTTGAGCCGCTTCCTTTAAAGCATCTTCCCTGTAGCTGCTGCAGATGAGGAGTTGTATTTTGACTGTGCTTGGATGACTAGATACTCATTAACAGTTGCTTAGAGGAAAATGAGCCTCCCTGTTCTTCCTTTGCATGAGGTAGCCACGTGCTCTCCCTGCTCTGCTTGGTGCTTGTCTGAACTGCCGCATTAACAGCCCAACTGGTTGAGCAAGCACTCAGCTCACAGCTTGCTGGGCAGGATTTTCCTGTGCAGCAGCAGCTACAGCTGCTGGAGCGGCTTCAGAAGAGAATGCTGTGAGGGAAGCACTTTGCTTGAGGGCACTTGTAGAAAGGGCTGGGTTTCTGCTGCCCCCCTTCCAAGTACATCATGAAAGGTAGGTTTGGCACACTGAGCATTGCACAAACGCAGTCACCCCAAATGACTCCCAGAAGATTACTGTGCACAGCATTTTGTGTAATGCCTGAAAAGGGCCAGCAGTTTCAGCTGTGATTTCCAGAGCCCTGCAGTTGTACAAAAGCTGCTTTCCAGGGTGAATTCCCTAGGTTTGCGCTTAGCCTGATGTGACCTTTCTCCTCCTGGAAAGTACAATCCTGTGCTGCTTACCTCTCACAAGGGGAATTTTTAGTGTTTTAAGCCATAAGCGGTTAAGCCCACTTCTAGGAACAGAAGTACCACATGCATGTGGATTAGTAGTGGAAATAGTTGTATTTTTTTGTTTTTTTTAGGGATGCAGTGTTTTTTTTTTCTCAAAATTATTTTTGCAGGGGTTGATCAGTCTTTGGGAAATCAGAATTTTGCAAGTTAAAAATGGTTGCACTAGGGACATTGGAGGTGAAGTGTTTTGTTTGCAGCTGGTTCAACCCAAGATCTAAAGGTTACCACTTGGTAGAAATGAATGCAGATCTTCAACTGGGGTCAGTGTGACATGAAATATGACAGTGGTCTGTAGGAGCTGCAATTTGGGCACCCCTGCCTCCCTCCCAGGTGGGGATTTGTGGGCCTCAGCTTTGTGCGTGCTGCTGCTTCAGCTGCCGTGTTGTGGGAGCTGGTGCTCTTGGTCTGGCAGCTTGGGGTGACTTGGGCGAATAAGGAGATGAACAAAATCTGAAAACCTGCAAGGTGGAATAGAAATTTAACTGTTAAGTGTCACATCTTACAAGAAATGCAATATTTGCTACCTGTGCCACGTGCTCTAGGTGACCCTGCGTGTGCAGGGGGGTTGGACTAGACGACCTCTAGAGGTCCCTTCCAACCTTAAGCGTTCTATGATTCTATGATTTCTTTAATATAATGATGCTTTTGTGATACTGTTCAGGGTGAGACTCCCAACTGGAGCTACGTGGGACAGTTTTTTTTCTCTTTGTTGCCTTCCTGCTTTATTTCTTTAATATGATGATGCTTTTGTGATACTGTTCAGTGTGAGACTCCCAGCTGGAGCTACGTGGGACGGTTGTTTTTTCTCTTTGTTGCCTTCCTGCTTTCCTTGTTTGGGAAACTTGGAGACTTTTTGAGACAATGGATGGTGGGGAGTACAATTTGTTTTTACCATCTATTTGGAAAATTCACTTGGTAGATGGAACACCTGGAATTCTGTATTGGGGAGGATAAGCAGACATTTCTGCAGCCAAATTTAATATTTAAATAAGGTCAAACAGCCCAGTTAAGTGGGAGTTTGCACAAGCTATTTCTTCTCTTGGCGGAAGACCCGGATTCAAACTCCTCCTCTGTCACAGAAGCTTCTCTCTGACCTGGGCTGTGGTGTGTCCTTGTTCAGCAGTGCTATATGCCTTTTACATGATGTAGGAATGTCCTGCCAATGTCTCTGCTGTTCTGCGCTCCAATCTTTGTCTCCTCTTTGCAGTTTCCGATGTCAAAGTGCCAATGCTGCCCTCCCACAAGCGCACGGACATCACTGTCTTCAAGCCCTTCATGGATCTAGACACCCAGCCAGTCCTCTTCATCCCCGACGTTCACTTTGCGAACCTGCAGCGTGGTGCCCACGTATGTAAACCTGGGCTGTGAGGATGGGGAGGGCTATGGAGCATGTTTATAGGAAGTCTAGGGTGCTGTGTGTGCAGGCACACGTAGCAGATGCCAGACTGTCTGCAGCGACACTGTAAACAGCTACAGGCCAAGTCTTGAATGAGCAGCAAACATATCTCCTTGAGGCACTGGCTGGTGTTAGCTGGGGATGTTTTCTGAAGAAACTCTTCTCCCGTAAACTCCCATTTCTCTGAACCTGAGCTGATTTTTTCCACAGCATCTCCAGTTTGGGGTCTGCTGAATTAGCTGCTGTCTGGTTTCCTCTCGTAAAATCTGTTGGGTTTCTGGTGAGCTGCTGTAGACCTTGGGCTCTCCAGCCTGCTGCTGCAGTGAGAAGCCCTGCTGTGGAACTGGCAAAAGTGTCAGTTGGGTGGTCGGCTGCCGTGGCGCTCCTAGAAAGTCCCAGCTGACAGGAAACTGAAAGGGAAAATAGAATAAATTGGAGAGCAAACAGACTTCAAAACTGTGAACTTTCCTGTGTCTTAAATTCTGGCGTGCTCTAATATAACATAAATCTTACTTTAAGGGCATTGCCTAATCCCCTGAGAGGGATTGAGAATAAACTTTGTATTCAAGGCAAACTTTTCCATGTGTTTCACAGTGGAGAAAATCCCTGGTATGTTCCATAGCAGAACCTGTGGGGGCTTTTTTACTGACTGTCAGACAAATCCATACCACTCTACAGGAACATACAAGAACTAATTGGCTTTCTATCTTAGGCATCTTGCACCCTTTGAAATTCTCTTTCCAAAAAGAGGTAATGATGCTTACTTGCTTTTGGAAGGTTGAGCCAGTATCACTTCATACAGGGCTGAAAGAGAAATAAATTCCAGTTCTGGATAAAGTTTTCACAGTCCTAAGCAAAAGTATTATCTTTTTATTAAAATGAAGATGATGTTATTGTTTGGATAGAAGCATCTTGAGCATTATAGTCCTAGCTGGCTCTGTGTCACAGCCTTTTTCCTCACCATCTAGTGCATTAATGGGCTTATGGCTCAGTCAGGTCCCCCACAGCTCCTGCCAGTGGGTTCAGAGGTTTCCTCTCCCTTAACAACAACCCAGTGCCGTTAGACCTTTGCTGTCCTCGTCCAACGAATCTTTAATGCAAACAAAGCTGTCATGAGGCTGCTATTAACAGGTAGAGGCCTCGTGGGATGGAAGAATATTGCTGACAGGACTGTACTGCCCCAGTCGCCTTGTGTGACTTAGTTGTGTAGCATTTAGAGCCTCTACTGCTTTTAGAGGACGGAATACCACGTGATGTTCTGCCTAGCTTATCAGCATTTATTTTCCTACCAATATCAAGAAAGTCTCCCCTTTGTTTTAAAAGGTCCTTCCTGTTGCTTCAGAGGAACTGGAGGGTGAAAGGTAAGAGCTGTGCTCTGCCGGGACTACTGAAGTCTTGCTTGCAGGCCAAGGACTAAGTCCCCATAACTAACTTAATTCTTGCCCTATTAATGACAGCTCCAATCTGAAGAGAGGGCCTTACATTGGGGAAGAGGATTTTATTGCTACTCCAAATAAGATGGCTAGAATAGAGGAACCAAAAAGAGGTATTGTTTTTATTTCTTTTTTTCTTTCAAAAACTGAATCATTTGTTGGAATCATTTGCCCATAAGAATGATGATATGGATGTGAGATTTAAACGGTCATTTACATTTATTTTGGAGTGTAGTTTAGCCTCTGTGTGTGTTTTGTTTATTTTTTTCTCGTTCCTGTTTTTGAGTAGTGGCAGTGATCATCTATATAAGCATGTAATTAAATTCTATTTTCTTTTCCCTGTGCAAATTCTTTTCTTTTTCTTCCAGCTCAGACACTGATTGCCTCTAAACTTTGGTAAACTGCTTACCTGCTCTGTGGCTCTTTCTTTGCACTGTCCCCTTAGCAGACTGAGGGAGGGAATTAATCACCTAATCCAGTACAAAGCACTTTGGAAGCAGCCTGTAGGACTCCAAGTGATCAATGCCAAGAATTGGTTCTAGATATAAAACTACTGCATCTGTCACGGTGCTGGGAAAGAAGCTGTTCCTAGCTGAAAGACAAAATTGAATGGTTAGTTTGTTTATTTTAAACATGTTGCAAACCTTTGCAATTATTATGTGAAATTGGATGTTGCTGTGGTGTCATGGAAGGAGCTGAGGGCGACTTGGAGATTATGTAGAGGACTGTTATGTGGAAGGACCACCCAAACCAATAATTAAATCTGTGTCTGTGACTAAAAATTAAAACTAGCAAGTCCAGGCTTAGTGGCCTGCATCTAGGTAAACTAATTAAAAGAATAGAGGTTTGGAGGGTTTTCTTTTTTCCCTTTTTGTAAAAGAAAATGAGACCCTATGGTTTCTCTTGCTGCAGGCAGCCACGAAACAGGACCTATGGGATTTTCTTTCTTTTGACTGCTGTTTCATCATACCTGTGCTGTACCTGAGGGGCTTTGTGCTGTCCTTGTTTCTGAAATCCTTCTCCTTTAGCCAAAATTTGTCAGGCTGCTGTTCCTGCCCTGAGTTCTGCTTGTTTGATGTAGATACCCCAATAAATATTTCATGTCGCAGATGTGTCAAAGCTGTGGCTGTTCAGCCCTCATAAAAAATCCACGTTGTCGTACCTAGTCATTACAAGATGGATTAAGGACAGCAAAGCTCCAAGCTTCCTTGCTGTTCTATTCCTCAGTCTTAATGCAGCTGTTAGTGAGGCTGGTGGTTACGTACAGCGGCTCTGCCGACCTCGAGAGTGCTAGGGATGCTCATCCAATTGGGTTTCCTACTTTGATTCCCTTCCTAGCAAGGCAGTAGATGTGTGTGGTCTGTAAGCTGGGGTGGTGGGAAGATTCCTGAAACATGGTGAGGGGAAGGAGGGGGATGGGGCAACATGAGGTGAGTGGGGGTGTGTGCCACTAAAGGATTAGAAATGAGGAAAATTAGAGGAAATGAGGAAATGAGGAAAATTAGAAATCCTGGGCTCCACAGTACAAGAGGGATATGGAGCTGCTGGAGATAGTCCAGCGCAGGGCTACAAGGATGATCAGGGGCCTGGAACATCTGCCCTATGAGGAGAGGCTGAGGGAGCTGGGCCTGTTCAGCCTGGAGAAGAGAAGGCTGAGAGGGGATCTAATCAGTGTATATAAATACCTCAAGGGAGGGAGTGCAGAGGACGGGGATGGTCTCTTTTCAGTGGTGGCCACTGATAGGACTAGAGGAAATGGCCGGAAACTGAAACATCAAAAATTCCATAGGAACTTAAGGAAAAATTTCTTAACAGTGAGGGTGACAGAGCACTGGAACAGGCTGCCCAGAGAGGTTGTGGAGTCTCCTTCTCTGGAGATCTTCAAAACCCGCTTGGATGCAGTCCTGTGCCACGTGCTCTAGGTGTCCCTGCGTGTGCAGGGGGGTTGGACTAGATGATCTCTAGAGGTCCCTTCCAACCCTAAGCATTCTATGATTCTATGATTCTAGGAGCGGGCAGGCTGGCTATGATAGCAGCTCTTGGGCTGTGGCGGTGTGTAAAGTCCTGAGGCACAAGACCTGTGACATACAGAGCACCCTAGAGGCCCAGAGTGCTGTGTTTTCTTTTCTTCTTTGGGTTTCAGATTTAGTCTTTTAATGAAATAATAGAGAAAATAACAAATAGAAAAATGCAAAAGTCTTTTGCAAAAAAGTTAGATGTTCAATGCATGAGCATTCAGCATTTCTATGTGCATCAAGTATGTTTTGAGCTAGCTTTGCTATGCATGTTTTCTGTGACCCTATTAATGCATTTTAATGTATTTTAATGCATTTTACACTGTATTTAGTCATTATTGTGACTATGGTTAGCCATTATGTAGTAAATTCCACTCACTGATTTCTTTTTCAGTGTTGCTATATGTCAGAAAAGAGTCAGAGGAAGTCTTTGATGCACTTATGTTGAAGACACCATCTCTGAAAGGTTTAATGGAAGCTGTAAGTAATATTCCTTAAATATTCCTTGACTCTGGTTTAGGAAAAAGTGACTATATGATTCCTGGCTATTTGGTCCCTTTACACCAAGCGGTCATAGGAGCCAATAGAAAGGTATTTCTCAGATTCCCTGAAAATCCAGACTTGGCTCAAGCTTGACTAGTGGATACCTGAATTACTCCAAAATGAATGTCTTTCCATACTGGAAAGACAGACTTCTAGGCTGGCTTGTCATCAAAGTTTCTTGTTTTGGCCAAATTGCTGAAGAAGCTTTGTTGCTCTTTTCCTAGTTATGTCAAAAACAGTCAGCAGACTCCTACCTTGAATATTTGTCATGTCATAAATAATATTTTAATCTTATCAGGAACTTGGTTTTGTTTTTGTCTTTCCCAGTCTTGCTTGGGTGCCCACCTTTCTTTTTAACTTGCAGAGCTCTTCTATGAAGAGCTCTTTAAGTCCCAGTTTCTCAATGTATTTGGAGAGTTTTATGTATCTGCACACATGCGTGAAGATATTCTCTGCTACTTGGCTTCCAAAATAGCCTTCAACTACCCCTGCTGCTACAAGACTGCAAGGAAATACAGAGCTTAACTCTGAGGAATGGTGTAATGTTGGCACAAGTTCAGAACTGACGGTTCTGGCTGTCTCTTTCTGTGACTAATGCCCCGTAGTCTCTGAGGACAGAAGACTTAGGGCCCTACAGCTGGGTATTGGTGGCTTTGGGACCTGGAGATGGCTCTGTAACCTGAGACCCTCCTAGGTGTGAGGCTTTGGAATTACAGTTTGTTTTTTGGATGACTCTCCCTTAAAAACCTGGCGAGGAATAAGAGGCAGAAGAGGAATTTATTGATGTGTTACTGCTGAGAGCAGCTCCTGCAGCTGTAAGCAGTTCTCATGGGTGTGCTGGGGCACAAGAGGGAGGGAGGGAGGAAGACTGTGAAGTCCTCCCTTTGCCTGTGGTCCCCGAGTGAAGCTCTAGCCTATTGCTTCATTTGGACTTCTTAGAGCAGGAGGCAGGAGCTCAGAAATGCTGATGGGAGAACCCCCCCTGCTCGGGCTGTTGGTGTGGGGCTTGTGTGATACACAAGCCAGTGCGTGTGCCAGTGTGACACAGCAGTTTGCCAGAGCAAGTCAGGCCCAGGACACTGACCTTGTGACATTATGGGCCACATGCAGTGGCTGTGGTTTCACACTGGGCTGACTTTGCTGAACTTGAAAATGATTTTCAGTGAGCTAAGAGCATGGAGAGCCAGCAGAAAATGGAGACCAGAGTTTGGGAGTTTTTCTTCTCTTCTTTTTAGGACCATTTTGCAATGTGAAAAGTGAGTGGAGTGGCCAGATTGAGAGTGCGCTTTTTTTTTTTTTTTTTTTCTCTCTCCTTGGTAGTCAGTGAATTCCCCACAGAGGATGGGTTCTCATCTCTGTGCTCATGTTATAGTTCAGGATTTAGCATTAACCTTGGGGTGGAGCAGTTGCTTTGATTTGCAGACCTTTGACTGTTTCTTTACAAAGTGGAAGATGGTGCCAGCAGTGTCCTTGTTTCACAAATGTTTGTTTTTTTTTTTCTTTTTTTTTTTCACCTAGATATCTGATAAGTATGATGTTCCCTTTGATAAAATTGGAAAAATCTTCAAAAAATGTAAAAAAGGGTGAGTAGATACCTGTACAACAACTGCCTGAGAAGGTAACTTCTTTTCAAGCCTACAAATCTGCTTTGTAATCCCTCTTCATGCTCCACATGTGCAAATGCCATTGCATGCACACACACACACGCATATGGACCAACCCAGTTCCAGTGGAAGTGCAGAAGACAGGAAGGGTCCTTAAGAAATAAGTAGCCTTACTTCCTGTGTAAATACAGGTCATAGGACTTTGAGTTAATTGCTGTTTGAACCAGAGTTGATCTTGCGAGAGAGCTAGCTTTGTTCAAAGGTGCCTACCTCAACCCTGCCCAATTGGTCAGGTGGTTAATTGTACTAACTATGGCTGCATTTATTTACAGCTATTTACAATTATTAGATCTGGTTATCTTTTTGTCTGATAAATTGAAGAGAGTTCTGCTTAAGAAATACCTGTTACTCACAGAGATTATCCTCCACTGATTACTTTTCCTTGGTAATGAAAAGGGATTGAGTTCCTGAACACGTCTGCTTTTGTTTTTCCTTTTAATCTCATACTAAATTTCATGGTGGTTCTCTGAACTCGTTTCATTTTTTTTAGCCCTTTCCCTGAAGCCCCTCTGGCCAGAGAAATAAGTCTTTTAATCAGCTTTGGAATGCAGTTTGTGGAGCTGTGCATTCAGGGCTGAATTAGAGAGAGAATTGCCAAATACCTTTAAATTGGTGGTAACTGAACCACTAGTAAGGAGAGCTTTTCAGTAAGTAAAGTAAGGAGGGTGGGGGGTATGAACCCATGCACACACACGAGTGTCAGCTGCTTGGCAAAAGTGGCAACCAGACATCAGCAGCTTCACTGCCAACTCTGTAGGGTTGTGCTGATGATTTCTAATAGTCAAACTAGCCTAGAGCCCCAGGGGTTGTCTGAGTGCCTCCAGCCTCAAAAGGATTTCTGACGCTTCTGAGCTCAGTCTTCCTCCCTGGTCGAGGAGCTAGACTTTATCATAAAAGCGTCTGCAAGTACTGGTACCTACTGTGAATAAAATAAACTAGATCTGCTAGGAACAAATGGGTCAGAGAGATGGATGAGCAGGGAACTTAAGTTACCTCCAGGCAATCAGTGTTCTTTGAGATTTGACTGTAGCTCTGCAAACTTTTGCATTTAATATTAATCCTGGTTTGTCTTCATTTTCTAGAATTCTGGTCAACATGGATGATAACATTGTGAAGCACTATTCTAATGAAGATACCTTCCAGTTGCAGATTGAAGAAGTTGGAGGATCTTACAAGCTCACTCTTACTGAGATTTAAGATCTCCGATCCTCTGTGGATTTTAAACGAAGGTCTCAAGTGAACATTATTCCATAATTCAGCATGTTGGGTAAAACACTAATCACCTTCTCCAGAAGAAAGTCAGGTGGTGTCTTCTTCTGGGGATCAGAGCAGTGTTTTTGCTTAATACATTTGTTTCTGTTCTGTCCAAGGAACACCGTAATGCTCATGATGTCGTTTGCACTTGAAACAAGAGAGCAAAGATCAGGAATTAAATTAAGAGCATGTATAAAACACTAGTAAATACAGGAGGGGAAAAAAACCCTGGATGGTGGCCTTTTAGAGTGGTGGTACCTTATTTATCTCTTTAGTACTCTTATTTGAGCCCGTTGTCAGCTAATAACATTGTATTGGACTATTTTCTGCTAGAAACAACTGCAAAACTACTAGTTGATACTAGTAGGAATTGCATGCAGGTTGGAGAAAGACTTTATAATGTTTACTCTTGAACAGGGCAGATTGTTGAAATCACGTGTTAAATTTGCAGGGGGGAGGATGCAAAACTGCCTTACTTATGAAGAACTCGCCTTAGTAACTGTGTGAACTGATCAGATGAAGCTATATTGTATATAAGTGCAATATATTTTTGAAGGTTTGTAAATGTGTACATACAAGTGATATATAATATATATAAATACGGTGTTCATGTATATACCATGAATATATACAATGAAGCCCATCTAAAAGGATGCCATATACAGAGAAAAACAATATTTAATGTAGTTATTTAAAAGTGGACAAACCCTTAACATGCACCAAAGGTGAGTGCACGCTTGTATGTTCATAGAACGCACAGAGACCTGCTTTGTCAACATGGATTTTCCTACGTGGAAGGAATGGTACTGATTTTCCTTTTAAATTCTTGTGTGCTGCACGGTGATGGCACTTGTGGCTTCTGTTGTGACCTGCCAATTTGGGCTCTGGAGTGGCTGGGTTACTGCTGCCCTTGGAGGTGCCTGGATGTCCAAAACAGACACTGGGTCCAAAAGGAGTATGTCCAGTTTTATTGAAATCTCACTACTTGGTTACTTGAAAACTCAGTCTGACCCAGGTTCAGGCTCCTGGGGTCATGAGGAAACCCTCCTGGAGGGCGAGCTGTTGTGTAGCAGCATATTTGGGGCTCCACATGCCTCCCCTGGAGTCAGGCACTGATCACAGCCAGCTCCAGCAGCAGCTCAGGGTGGCTGAACTCATGGATTTGTTCCCATGTGCCAGGTCCTAAGATGTTAACAGCTCGACACAGGCACAGGCAGGATTCCTTTTGAGAAAGCACAGCCCCATCCTAGCGCAGCAGGCCAAGTAGGTCAAGGGGGGCTGCAGCAGATGTCACGAGAAAGGAAGCTGAGAGGGAGACACCAAAAAGGGCACCTGGGAGCAGAAGCCCTGACTTTGATCCCAGTTGGCAGCAGGCATTGCTGAGAACCTCAAAAGCTGTCACTCTGCAGTAGCTGGTACAGTATTTACTCACCGTGTGTTTGTGCTTATGAAAGAGAGGCACCCTCTGATTAGTAGCACAGGAGGGATAGAGAGGCAGCTCATCTCCGAGGCAAACCTGGATTGAAGGGTGGAATGTGACCATCACATGCATGGATAAGGATGAGTGCTGGGTCTGGCACTGCTCATGTCTTCATTAGTGATTGGGATAGTGAGAAGCTTTATAAAATTTTCAGGCAATGCAGAGTTGGGAAGAGCTGGAAGCACATTGACTAGGACATGAGCCTGAATAGGCTGGAGAAATGGTCCAAAAAAGTAGGATACAGTTCAAAAAGGACATGTATGGAATTCTGCTTCCAGGAAGGAACAGTTAGCACAAATGCAGGCTGCAAACCTGCATGGTGGCAGCTCTGTAAGATGTCTCCTGATGCCCCAGGAGAGCAGCCAGACCACTTGGTACCCCAGAACCTGGCCCATGAGGAAGGGTGCAATGAATTGTGTGGGGCCACTTTCAGAGGGGAAGGTTGAGGAGAGTGAAGCCTTCAAATGTGTGAAAGTGTTCTCAAAGTCCACTGCAAGTACAGCTTGTGGCCTTAAATTGCAGAAATTCAGGTTATATGTTGAAAAGCTTATTTTCTTCCTAGCAAAATGAGCAGGTTGCCTAGAGGGGCTGTGGAATCTGGCATTGGGGTCCTTAGTGTCAGGTGGGACCTCTGGACTGCACAGGTATAGCTGACGATGCCCTGGTGCTGAGACTAGATGTCAACTTGAAGTCCCTCCCCACTTAAAAAAAATATTTTTTTTTTTACATGAAATACAGTATCCTGGGATTTGTGCTCAGACCAGTCCTGAGCTGTTTCATACACCAGTTCACTTCCCCTCCTTCCCTCTCTGCTCCTGGCCTGCTCTGAGGTTTGCTGGTGTTCTGGACACCAGGTCTTGTTCTCTTCACTGCCATGAGCTCCCTGGGCTGGCGTGGAGCAAACGCAGAGCAGTTACCTGGAAAGAGCCCGTAGGTCGGAAGCCCAAGGAGAGAAGGGAGCCGGCAGGACAGTGCCAAAGGGACTGCGCACACGGATGCGGCCCAGTGTAGGATCCATGGTCTGCAGAGCAGCAATGGGATGTGCAAGGCTGATAAGAACCTGCCATCTGGGCTTCCATTCATGAATTACAGGGAATAATGTTACTATGGCAAGGGAATTTTTTAAACATGATACATAGAAATACGTATATATATTTACACATTTTTATTGAAAATGGAAGTTTTATTACAGAAACTCAGTCTAGGGTCAGGGAAGTAGATGTAGAGTCTCCATAGAGGTAGAATTGACATAAATGTTATTTCTTCTTACTGTTTAATGAAGTATGTGAACTAAATTTGAGGATTGTTTTCCACTATAAGATGTTCTGGGACACGGGTCTTATAACAGTAGCAGCAATGTCATGTATGTTTTATGAAACTGATTTTTTTTTTTTTGGTTTTTGCCTGCTGTTTTTTAATTGAAATTGTATTTTAAGCCAAGCTATTAAATTTTATATGTTCATTTCTAATGATGAGTCTTTTATAAACACATTTGGTGACAGAGCACTGGAACAGGCTGCCCAGAGAGGTTGTGGAGTGTCCTTCTCTGGAGATCTTCAAGGCCTGCTTGGATGCAGTCCTGTGCCATGTGCTCTAGGTCCCTGCTTGAGCAGAGGGGTTGAACTAGATGACCTCTAGAGGTCTCTTCCAACCTTAAGGATTCTATGATTTTTTTTTTTTCTCTTCGCTGTTTTTCATTTTTCCCTTTTACTGACAGGGGATCTATGAAACAAAACCCCAGTGATCTTGTTCACTAACTTTCTTATGCCAGGTAAGGTGCTGGCAGACACCAAGTCTTTCCTTGAGACCATGCAGGGATTCCAGCCTCTATCCCTTGCCACTGCTTTGATGCTGCTTCCCATAATCGCCAGCCAGAGGGGCAGGAAGGATCGGTGCCTCCTGGGAGGAGTGGTGGGTTAAGGACACCCCTTCTGCTGCCAGGGCAGCACTTGGCAAAAGTGGCAGGCATTGACTTTATGGTGGGGAGAACACTTGAAGGAGGTCCAGACTTGTTCTTGAAAATAATCCTATTGCTACCCTTGCTCTAGTATGACCTCTCTCTGAAGAGGGACTTGACTCTGCTGTTCAGAAAATGTCTCAACAAGCCTTTTGTTCCAGTGCAGCTGGGACAGCCTTTGAACTCTGGATATTCACCAGCTGCACTGTCACCCCTTCAGCTATTTTAAGATCCTGCCACCAGGGTAACTTCTGTTCCGCAGACACCTCTGAAGAGCTGGGCGCGCGGGGGCATGCCCAGGGCTCCGTGTGGAACAGCACGGGTGGCAGAGTTGTCTCTGGGCTGGTAAAACGCCGGTAGCACTTGCTCTAGCTCTTGGTGCGACGGGCTGCGTGCGCAGAGCTCTCCTTGGGTGCTGCAGGAGCTCACCCAGCGCCTCCAGTGCCCTCCCTTGCTCTGAAGGGTGAGTCCTGGACGCCCTGTGCCAGGCCCAGGGTGCCATGGCGAAGCGCTGAGCACTGCGGTGGGGTTCACTCCTGCATGGGTACCCCCCGACAGGTACCGCCGTCGAGCGGTGTTCAGCCTGCGTACAGTCAGACCACTGCGGCAGGGTCCTGCTCCCGCGTTTCATGTCCTGCAGAGAACTTCAGCGTGACCATGGTGTTTTCTTGCCAGCTGTGAAAAGCAGCCAGCGCTACCGCCTCTTTCCAGGGCCCTTGCGAGCATCCTGCTCCAAAGGCACGGTGTGGTGTGTGTGCTTACACGGTCTTGCCTTCCTTCCCCTGCCACCTCAGCCTTCCTTTTTTCCATTTTTTTAAATTTTATTTTATATTCATCAAGTGAATTAAAATGTGTGTTTGAAGTAGCTCTTATCTGCAGAGCGGAATCACAGTGGATCAAAGGTAAATTCCTAAAGATGCAACTTTGAACTCCAAAGCAGTCAGCTTCACAAGATGATCTGGGATCCCTGGGGCGTGATTTCAGGCTCTAACATAAGTCAGTTGAGCTTTTAAGATTTCATCTCTTCGTATGGGAAATCTGAATTCTGCAGCAGTCTTCAGTTCCTTCAGGGGTCTTTTGTTTATTAAAATTAATTGCAGTAGCTTTTCTTCAAGATACTGAGGGATTATGTGCCCCTCTGTGTGCCTTCTGTTTATTTTTTCTTCAGCTAAATAAATTTGTCTAATAAAGCAGGAGCTTTCCCCAACCACTTGTTTTGCTTTCTTTTTTTCTTGGACACCTTTTTGTGTTCCTTGGTACCTTCCTAGCTGCAGTGCCATTGGTTCATGGGTTAGATAGCTTTGTGTTGCTCATGACACCATGGAGGGCTCAGGGCCTTTTTCCTTTTTAGGGGGTTTCTGCAGGTGCTGTGGCAGCTGGGGCTGCTGTTGCAGGTCACAGTCTCCTGTTTGCACAGGGCTCTATGCCATTAGTCCATCGATCGGTTTTGCTGTCCACACCATCCCTGAATTGATGGCATGCCTGGTGGATTAAGTGTTATTTATTTTGTAATCTCTCAAACGTGTCCCATCCTGCAGGCTTCGGGCACATGTACAAATAGACCTGGTGACCAGTGTCACCTAGACCCAAGTGCAGGGCTCCCCCTGTGTCACTGCTGGTCTTGGACAGCAGCCACTGCAAATGGGAGGGCCAGGCCTCAGCCTGCAGCGTGGCCCACTTGGCCTCTCATTTGCTGGTCAGAAGCCCCTGCAGGTTCCAGGTCACTGACTATTTCTCACCTGGCCCCGGGACCTGCAGCCTTGCGCCTCTTCTGTGTGTGGCAAAGGTGCTTCTGGGCACTGCCCCATGCGCAAGGGAAGCAGCGGCTGCAGCCCTGGCCTCAGTGCAGCTTGCAGTGGGGCAAAGCAGGGGCTGCCCTGGTGCCAGCAGCCCTGCCTGAGCTGGCCCGTCTGCTCCACGGTCGGGCATGGGGAGGCAAGCAGCTTCGTGCCTGCACAGATAAATGCCGTGATGCAGCAGCTTTGGAGCAGCAGTCACCACTTGTGAGTTGGCTGCAGATGTCCCAATCACCCGGCTGCTGCTCCGTGCCAGCAGCCGTGGGGATGCTCCCTGTTATTTTCCCAAGAGCTACATGGAATTGGTTGTGGCTGGGGCCCTGCCCTGGGGAGGGCTGTTGTCTGGGAGTCAAGGCAAGGAGGGGGTTGAGAGGGAAACTGAGGCAGGGAGGAGGCACAGGGGCCTGGTGAGCATGAGACTGGGAAAGTCAGGTATGGAGAGGGCGGCCAGAACTGCAGCCGGGAGTGACTGTGGGGCTCGAGGCCCCAGCAGCGCAGGCCAACATCCCTCAAGGCAAGCAGCAAACACCCCCTGTAAAAATCATACGGTGTTTAGGGTCAGTGCTCA